ATAAATAAAGATATAAAGATTAGAAGGGAGGGGCTGGGGATTTAGCTCAGCGGCAAAGTGCCTGCCTGGCAAGCGCAAAGTCGTGAGTTCGGTTCCCGGTACCAGAGAAAAAAAAACAAAAAAAAAAAAAAAAAAAAGATTAGAAGGGAGAAAAACTAATTATTTCACATGATCTGCTTGCATACATAGGAAATCCAAAAGAATTTACAAGCAAGCTATTAGAAATAATAAGTGATCTTATACAAAATCAAGTATATTTTTATGTAGAATCAAAAAGGCAAACGAAATAAGAACATTTCATCTTAACATAATAAAATATAAATATGTAGGAATTAATGTAATAAAAGAAATTCAATACTTTTACACTGAAAATTTTAAAGCATTATTGACAGAAATTTAAAAAGCTGAATAAATGAGGGGGATATACATGTTTATGGATTAGAGGACTCAATATTATTACGATTTCACTAGTCTATAAAATTCAGTGCAATACAAATCAAAATCTTAGCTCATATTTATTGGGGGAAATTGACAAGCTGGCTCTAAACTTCATATGGAACTAAAAGACCTAGGATAGGTAACAAAATATTTTCAGGGAAAAACAAACATACTACTCATACTATTTGACTTCAAGACCTATTTTGAAGCTACAGGAACAAGGACTTTTTATTGGTGCAAGTTTAAATAAACAGACAAGGGTCAGGGATTTTGCTCAGCAGCACAGCACCTGCCTAGCAAACACAAGGTCCTGAATTTGATTCCTGGTACCAAATAAATAAGTAAATAAATTGTTATGGTTTATGTCTGTGTGTCCCCCCAATGCCTCATGCGGACATGGGGCAGGCTATTAGAGTTGAATGATTGTGGGTGTGAGAGCTACACCCACCCTCAGGTGGATAGTTTGCATATGTAAGGGAGAGGAAGAAGCTGCTTGGGGATTCCCCCCCCCATTCCGCCCTGGTGTGTGGCTTGCTGCTTTGCTGTGCTGCCACCCTGAGATGCAGCCCTCTGCTATGTGCCACTCTGCCTTATAATCTGCCAAGTACGGATTGAAACTTCCACAAACTGTAAGCGAAATAAACCTTTCCTTCCTTAATTTTGGGTGTCAGGTATTTTGTTCCAGCAGCGAGGAAAGAGTAACCAAGACATAAATAAACAGACAAACAGAATAGAGACAAGAAATAAATCCACATGTATATGGTCACCTTATTTTTAACCAAGACAACATTAGAATTTTGTAGACTTTTAACAAACAGTGTCAAGCCTGTAACCCTAGCACTCTGGGAGGCTGAGGCAGGAGGATCACAAGTTTGAACATGCCCTGGGCAACTTGGTGACTTAGTGAGATCATGTCTCAAAATAAAAGATAAAAACAAAAATAGATTTTTTGTACATGGGAAGGGGATGAAGAGATGGGGGGGGAGGGGAAGAGAAGGGAAAGTAAAAATTTAAGAACGTTATGTACATGTTCTAACTCCCCATAATGAACATAATCATTGTGTCCTACAAACACGTACCAGTATAAATTTAAAACGTAAACAACAACAATAATAAAAAATAACTGGCAGGTCAAGTGGATATCCATGTTTTTAAAAACTGTGATCTTTATTTCACATATTACACAAAAACTTAATGAGATGGTCGAGTGTGTGTAATTCTAGCACTCTGGGAGACGGAGGCAGAAGGATTGTAAATTTGAGCCCATCCTGAGCAGTTTAGTGACTTAGGGAGATCTTGTTCCAAATTAAAAAAACTTTTTTAAAGGGGTGGGGATGTAGCTCAGTGCCAAGGCCTTGGATTCAAGCTCTGCTACCCTACTACCGAGAGAGAGAGAAAGGGAGACAGAGAAATGAATTGTTGATTTTAATGAGAAAGAAAGAGCATCGTCAAACTTCTTGAAGAAAACACAGAAACATATTTTCATGATTTGGGGAGAGACAAAGATTTCTTAAATGGGACACACAAAAATCACTAAGCATAAAAGATGAATAAGTTAGACTTTAATATAATTAAGCACTTCTGTTCATCAAAGGTGCCACTAACAGCATGAAAGAGCAAGGTATGGAGTGGGAAAGAGATTTGCAATCTTTCTGACAAAGGACTTGTACACAGAACAGGTTTTTTTTTTTGTTTTTTGTCTTTTTGAGGCAGGGTCTCACTATGTAGTTCAGGTCGGCCTTGAACTCTCTTTGTAGCCTAGGCTGGCCTTGAACTCACAGCGATCCTTCTGCCTCAGCCTTCCAAGTGCTGGGATTATAAGCATATGCCACCATGCCTGGCTACAGAAAAGATTTTTATCATCTTATAAATCTACACAAAGACACACAACACTATTTAAAAAAATGAACAGAAGACCTGATCAGATGCTACATAAAAAAATGAGCATCAACATGGCCATTGCATTTACCAAAGTCACTCAACATCATCAGTAGAGAAAAGTAAATTAAGTCCACAAATAGAATCCACTACCCGCCCCTGGAATGGCTAAAATTAAAGTGACTGATAATACTATGTGTTAGTGAGGATGTGGGACAACTGCAGCTCTCTTATTTTACTAAAGAGAGTTTAAATTGGTGAACCACTCAGGGAAAAAAGTGCTTGGCAGATGCTACCAAAGTTAATCATATACCTACTCTTCATCCTAGCAATTCTAACCTTGAGTACACACAAGAGGAATGAGGCCATGTCTATTCCCCAAAGAATGTTAGCAGCATCTCCTTTAGACAGTACCAAGCATCCCAAGTGACCCAAGTGTCCAATAGTGAACCGAAAACTGTGGTATAGTAATACAAAAGAATATGGTACATAACAGACAAGTGTGAAGCACAGCACATTCACCAGTACATTGAACCTCACAGACAGAGTGTTGACTAAAAGATGCCAAATAGTCAGGCGTGGTGGCACACATCTGTAAGCTCAGCTTCTCAGGAGGCTGAGGCAGGAGGATTACAAGTTTAAGTCAGCCTGAGCAAGTTACCAAGACCCTGTCTCAAAAATAAAAAAATAGGAATAAGAGAGGGATGTAGCTCAAAGCAAAGGCAATGAGATGGGGACCTTTAAGAAGTGGGACATAGGGCAGGGTAACTGCTAGGACTACCTGGGTAGTCGCCGGGTGGTTACCTGCAAAATGGGTTCCTGCTGGGTGTGGAATCAGTTAGTTCTCACAGGCCAGAGGGCCTGGCACTGACTCTCTGGCTTTCTGTGTCACCACAGGCCATCCAATCTGGGACCGTCAGCTTCCAAAGCCATGAACTAAATAAACCTCCTTTTTTTTTTATAAAGCCCTCAGCCTCAGTTCTTTCATTATAGCCACAGAAAATAGATTCATACAGCCTGGTCCTTTCCATCCCAGGAAAGAAAGAGGGCCTTGCTTTCTGCTGTTGAAAACCAGCCAGACCGGAGAACAGGGATTCTCAGTCAAGGTGCACGAGGAATTGGCCTGGGGTGACACATATGGACTAAAACTAAGTTGTGGTGATGGATGCATAACTTGATAAACTTACTTAAAAGCATTGACTTGTACACTTGACATGAATGGATTATAGGATGAAATATGCTTCCACAAAGTTATTTTTAAAAACTGGATATAGATTATAGAGAGCCCTTCCTGGTCCTTGTCACGGCCCAGGAAGGTATATTTGTAATCCCAAGAAAAGTTATTGGAATTCTAGTGAGTTACTTCAATCTACCACTTGTAGTGCCACCCATGGCGAGAATAAAGACACTAAGGCATATTTGTAGTTATGGGGAGCCAAGGGGTCCTGAGTCCAGCCATAATGATGCCCACCCGGAACCAAGGCCTCGACACAAGGCAGAGCCCAGGTTTTATTCATTCATGAAGGGAGTGGCTTGGGGATGAGTGACTGTGAGAACAGGGGGAAGTAGGTGAGTGCTGTGAGCTGGGCTAGGTAGGAGCCCTGAAATCACCTCTGCAAATGCAGAGAGAAGGGTCTGCAGAAAGAGTAATCTGCGTAACACAACTGAGAGAGTATCTAATGTTTGCGGGTCGGTGCTTCAGCTCTGATGTGTACTCTTTGAAGCCCCAGGAAGTCATAGCCTCTATCCCAAGGCTTGATCCCAGCTGACAGCGCGGAGCATTGGCTCACACATCCCGCTGCATCCCAGCTCACACATGGGAACAATGGGAGGTGGGCAGGGGTCTGGGGAAACAGCTTCCTTCTCCAAAGACTACCATCAACACCTCGGCTGGACCGATATGCATTGCTTAAAGCCAATTGCAGGGATAAGGAACAGTCCCAGCCAGCTCTGTATCAATACATGGAAATAGGGTCAGGCTTAGCCTAAATGGAGGCAATTGCTCCTCTGTCAAGGAGAGTCGCCTAGTGGTTCTCCACAGTAGCTCCTTCTGATTGTTGTGGTCCAGTTCCATAAGACCCACCTCGCTCTTGAGAGACCTCACCCTGTCTCTTAGGAAAGACCTGAATCCCTTTGTGAGGGTGGAGACCCACGGCCTAATGATCTCCTAAAGTCCCTCAGCACCATGCTGTTGGGGGACACACGGCAGCATGAGCTCTGGCGGGGACAGAACACTAGGAAACCACAGCAGCGCCACGCACGCGTGTTGATATTACTTGTGATTTCCCAAAGAGGCGAGGCATTTGGCAGTCAGTGGCCACGAGGCTCTTTCTGCCCCCCAACTTGGCCTGACCATCAGTTCCCTTCACTCCACTGTTAGCACGCTCACCCCACCCCCACCCCATCAGCTACCCCACCAGCTCCCCAACAGGGCAGGAGTGGAGGAGCCACCCCCGCTGATGAGACGGGGAACCCCAGGGTGTACAAAAGGTGCCTGACAGCTCTGTCACATGATCCAGAGGAGACGCTGTTTACAGACAAGGAGATGCAGCTCCTGAGAACCCGACCACGCAGGGAATCACGTCAGCCTCTGACCCGCGGGGTGAACCCTCAGTCACCAGCACCCTGAGATCTACGTGCTGGGGTGGGCCGCGCAGGCACCGGGTGTGGACGCGGGCTCTTACCACTTCTTGCCTCCGATGTCGTGCTGCTGCACTGTGTAGCCGAAGAAGGCGGTCTTGGGGCCTGTGAGGACTCGCGGCCTCCTGGTGTCCATGTTGAAGGTGTCTGTGAATGCTGGGCAGGAGGAGAGGAGAGTGAGAGTCAGGCAGGCGGAGGCCTGGCCCGGGGCATGGTGGGACCTACCAGAGGATCTCCCACCATGGAGGGTCCCACAGCCTGCCAGAAGGGGGCTCTGAAGCTGAGCATGTCCCCCTCCCTCCTTCCCTAGGTACTGACCGCCTGGTCCACATGTTCGAGGGCGACACCCTGGGGCACCGCCTGAGCAGAGCCTCTTTTACCGAAGCAGGTAGTTTCCTCCACTCCTTCTTTTTACAAGAGATGACCATTAAGTCACAGTAACTGTACAAGTTAATGGGTTTCACTGTGACATTTCCAAAATGCAGACATTGTACTTTGATCATATCCACCTTCACTTACCCTCTTTTTTTTTTTGCACCATAAATGGATTTGCCCATATTCCCTCACCAGAGTTACAGAATCAAGGTTCCTGGGGGTGGGGGGTGCTGGAAGACTGCGGCGTAGGGAAGCAGGTACACATGACCTCGCTTGCCCAGGGTAACCCGCAGTGCTGTCTGGAGGTCAAGTCTGGGCTCGGGGGCAGAGCAGTGTGGCCCATGTGAGGCACTGCTGCAGTACAGGGGGGACAGTGGCAGCAAGTGACCAGGGAGCTGCCAGCTCTCTCTTTGTGATTCCTGGTCTGATGCTTGGGTTTGCTGTTGTGGCCCTGGGCGTGGAGCAGGGGAAGGAGAGGAAGTTGGCCCACGCCAGGCAGACGCATCAGCCCCGGGGCAGAGCCCTTGGTCAGGAGAGTGGTGGGCACAGAGGATGGAGCGCCGGTGACACTGCTGGTGACACGGAGTCATGGTTCCTCACCATGAGGAACCTCACCATCTCTCCAGTCCTGTTTCAGGAATGAGCACGTACACGCACGTGCACACACATCCACATTGGGTTACAATTGCTTCCCACCTGCCTCTTCCTCCTATCGGGCTTCTTTAGAGTGACATCTATGAAAACACTTAGCTTTAATCTCCTCTCTGCATCCAGAAGGTGCAGACAGACTGTGTATGTGGTGGTTTCTTCCTGTCTTAGGGACACAAAAGCTATCAGTATTCTTAAGACAAAATAAAAAAGATTTTGTTCCTTCCAAATTCTTCTTATAAGAAATCTCTGCTAATTGACCTACAAAAATTCTGACTAGTCTATTTATAATTACAAACTTCTAAAATTGTAAAAGAATTATAATTCAGTTTGGCCAAAAATATATTTGCATGCACTCTGATATTATAAGCAAACTGTCTGTGTATGTTTGTTTGTCCATTTGTCCTGTCTGAGAACAGCTGCATTTTTATTTGAGATCAACAATTTTTTTCTTTTTTCTTTTTTCTTTTGCATTTTTTGACCATTTGTTCATAATTTAATTTGGTTTATAGATTTAAAGAGCATGCTTCCACCTGGGTTGCCAGCTGGTCAATATGATATCAAAATTGGTTTTCTCATAGGTCATCAGATATTTGTTAAGGTAACTAAATGGGGACCCTTAGGGCTTGGAGAATTATTAGTCAGGGCTCCCCTTGGTGAACAAAACAGCAGCTGCCTGGGAAGATATCCTAGCCTTTGTTCATTAATGGGAGGACCCAATGATCTTTATAGCCTTATGGGAGACATGACAATAAATGTTATTAAAAATATGTTATTGTGATATGTTTACATTGGCACAATATGTCACAACAGATTGTGATATGTTTGCATCATCAAAAGGTTAAGTTTTCTAAAAATAAAACAATAAGATTTTCTGATTTAAGGATGCTTTGGTACAAAACTAAATTAAGAAACAAAAGTTTTCATATGGTTATGACAACTGTTATTAATCTCTTGGTGTATTAAATGTATTCATACCTTCAGATGTACAGGTCTTCCAAAATGTAAAATAGGGCTTGTTTATGGTGATAGACTTTTCTTTCAGATTTAGATCTCCACCTTTAACAAAAACTTATGTGATGTTCATGCTGTGTACACAGCATTATACTTAGAGATGCCTAGACATTTAACAGTCCAGACAGTGAATTATTATTATTATTCTTTTCTGGTAGCAGGAATTGAACTCAGGACCTCATGCTTGCCAGGCAGGTGTTGCACCACTGAGCTATATCCCTGGTCCCAAAGAGTCCAGACGATGTCACAAATTTCTTCAATAATATTCCATTAAAGGTCAACAAGTAAAAGCTTCTTATGTACTAGATAAAGAAGATTGACTAAACAGGCTATTTTATGTCAAAATGGAAAGTTAGATGTGTTAAAAAATGTCATCATGATTGTCATGTTACAATAGTATGTATGGCTTTTGATTTCAAGTTTTCTGTGTAAAACTATATAACTGTTGCCTGTTAACATTTTACAGGAATTCAACTATTATCACACCCATGGTTGGTAGGAAGTAATGCTTTCATTTTGTATTTTAAGGTGCTTGATATTCGGATTAAAAAACGGAAGTAGGGCTCAAATAGTCTATTGGTCTCCAACCCTTGTTTTTCTCATAGGCTCTGAGTCTTTTATATAAAGTAGACATACTCCTAAGAGGCCAACAGAGTTTGAGAACCACTCTATTGGGTTAAAGACCCTTGTGACAGGGCTAGCTTCCTGCCTCGTAGGCTCCCGGAGGGAGGGCCCCCAGCGCACGGGGAGCCTCGGGTGGGGAGCGCCGGTCTTCTGGCTGGCTAGCTTCCTGCCTTGTAGGCCCCCGGAGGGAGGGCCCCTGGTGCCCGGGAGGCCACAGGGTGGGGAGCGCTAGCCCTTGGGCAGGCCCCCAGCCTAACAGGCACCTGGGAGGAGGGGCTCTGGTGCACAGGAAGCCACACTGCGGTGAGCGCTGTTGCAAGCCAGCCCTTGGGCCGGCCACCACTGCTTCATTGAGAACTACCATGACACAGAGAAACATTGACACAATTGGCCCACCATGCACCAGCTGCAG